GAGAGGGTCCCAGGGTACTGGTAACGTTCTAGTTCTTGACCTTGATGCTGGTCAAGAATCATCATTGTATTCACTTTGTGATAATTCACTGATCTGCACAATTCTGATCTTCTATATGTATGTTAAACTTCAATACCAAAGTTTATTAAAAATATTTTTTTAATCTCTTATCTTTGTTGGAGTCAGAAAGTCTACCAGTCACTGAATAAGTATGTTGTAGCAGATGATGTTTATACCAAGCCCAAAACCATACAAGCTCATATCTCTGAAACATGCTGAGGCACCCAAGTGATTTATCCTTAGACACTTTTATTTTTGCCAAAAAATATGCATATTTTATTCCAGATCTGGGAAATGTAAAAAAAAAAGTGGGGGGGATGTCCTTCCACACACCATTTTAATTTAGTTACATTACTTCGGAAAAGCTAGAGCAGATACATCTGTGTATATATAGGTACGTATTTTCAGATTTTAGTCTCATCAGTGTTCACATCTTTATTCCATTTTGGTCTTTTATAAACATCCTTAAAAGTCATCAAACGCATCCTAATACTTCTACCACTGTCTGCTCATCAATCATTTAATACTGTTTGGATTGCATTCAGTTTGTGTATTAATCACCTTTGCGATTAGTTAAACTCTACATTACAAGATCTAAGGGCAAAAGACTCAAGTTACACTCCATGGGTCACAGTTACCCATTACGTGATTTTTTTCATCATTATTTGCAATTTCACACGTCTTGTAGTTCTCTATGTGGTCTATTTCAGCGTCTAGTGCTGTACATTATCTCCATCTTCTAGATGGGACTGCCTGTGACCATAAGCTTGGGGTCAGGCATAAACCGTATAGGACGTGAAGTGGGTTCTCATTTGGTCTTTGTTTCACAGCTGCGTTCTGCTGTCAAAGGCACTGAACGTTTCAGGACTTGAGTTGTCTTTGTAAGTATTTCTATTTCAGCATAACTTCATACCTTAGTTTTTTCTTTAGGTTCAAGGAGTGATTCTTTTTTGTTGCTTTTTGTCCACAATGATTTAAATGCTTCATAAATATGCTGACTTACAGCATATGCCTTCTTCCCAGTTACCTTTGCAATTATTACTGACTGAACTGGGTAGCAAACAGTTGCTCCTAAAGTAGCCAGTCCCAGTGGATAAGCAATTTTCTTAAATCTAGAACCTTCCCTCACTGATAACAAGCTTGGCAATCCTGAAACTGTAATCACTCCAATTTTGGAAAGAAAATCTACAGGCGGAATCTTCAGATAAACATATGTATCTTTTCCAAATTGTACTGTATCCATTATCCCATTTTTCACAAAGACATATACACCACTGCAGCAGCCAATATAACGACCAGCTGTAGTCTGGATGGAAGTAAAGCCCATTTGTAAATGACCAGGCTGTTCTTCACCATGTTTAGACTGGACAGGTGGTGCAGTATTTATGAGCAGCTGCTCTGGTTTCACTAGCTGCTTTTTGGACTCCTCTTTGGCTGCAGGTACACTTACAGATGCACATATCAGACTGTAGGCATGGTTGTCAGCCTTCCCATCCTAATGGCCACCATTCCTGTAACCTAGACACTTCAATTCTTGATGACTGCATCTCCCTTGCTGTATAATAGCAATAAAAGACTCAGAGCAGATGCTGAGTGAATGCTTCAAGGGTTGCTCCCTCTCATTAATTTCACAGAGCTCAAGGAAAAGTAGGTAACAAGCTGCTGAAACTACTTACTTTTTCCTTTCCAAGGCTGAACACTCCTCATCACACTCCAGCCTTGATAAGCAAATGAAAAATAAAATAAAGTCAGGGCACAGGCTTCACAGCTCACATGCAGTAAGAAAGTCTTAGATAGTTCACCAGAAAACACAGCAGATTCTTGCCAAACGACTTCCCCTTAGGCCAAGCAGCAGCTTGTGAGGCTACCCACTCTTCAGGTTCCACAAGTACCCCCTGCACTGGCAATCTCCTCCAGTCTCCCCTTGGCTTTAGTGCAGGTATGGCTGGATGAAGTTCCACCAAAGAACAGGTGGGCAGGCCTCTCTGGGTTACAGGAGTCTGGAAGTCCTCAGAGTGTTCCCTGCCTGCTCAGTCCCCAAAATGCTCTTCAGGTACCCCTCTGACAGTCC